CAAGTACTTGCCAACCTTTCTATTAAATATCACATATTATAGCTCACTCTAAAGAATTAAAATGGAAGTAACTTTTGTTTTAAAAACAAATTTCCGGGGCTAGAGAAATAACTCAGTGGTTAAGAACACTGGCTGTTCTTGCAGAAGACCCAGGTTCGAATCCCAGCACCCACATGGCAGATAACAATTGTCAGTAACTCCAGTTCCAGGGGATCTGACAACTTCTTCCGTCCTCCACAGGCATTGCACAACACGGGTGCACTTAGCTCATGCAGGCCTAACACTCATACACATAAAATAAAAAATAATAAATAAAATATTGAAAAAAATAAAAACAAATTTCCCAGTCAGGCATGGTGATACATGCCTGTAATCCCACTTAGGAAGTGGAGGCAGGAGAATCAGGAGCTTAACATCATCCTTGACTACTGTAGCAAGTTCAAGATCCTGTCTTACAAATTTTAAAAAGTCACTAAGTTAATGATGACAACAACAGTTGTCAATAGTCTGTAAGACATCCACATTTTTAAACTCTCTAGTTTTCAACAACAACAACACAAATGAAAGTCACACAAAAATGAAAATATAGAAAAAGTTATGGCCCATGTACAGAAAAACAATAACAGGACTTAATAGACAAAGACTTAAATCAGCTAGTATAATTATGTTTAAAGAATACCAATGTCAATAAAGAGAAAATAAATATACAAGAAATATATAAGCATTCCACAGTTGAAAAATACAGTAACTGAAATTTAAAAAGAAAAATCATCAGAAGGACTCAAGGGAAGTCTGAGCTGCCAGAATAAAGTATCATCAGGCCGAAAGAAATGTGAATTGGGATACCTAGTCTGTAAAACAGAATGACAGAAGAACGATAAAGATAATCAGAACCTAATGACCTTCAGAGCACTATAAATACAGGGTTCTCAGAGAAGAGGAGAGAAAGAAAAAGACAGAATTTTTCCTTCTTTTCTGACAGGGTCTACCAAGTCCCAGCCTACCTGGAAGTCACAAAGTAGACCAGGCTGGTCTTGATCTCACAGAGATCTGCCTGCCTCTGCCTCCAGAGGACTGGGATAAAAGGCACAAGCCACTGTGCCTGACTTTTCTGTTTGTTTGTCTTCCTTCCCTCCCTCCCTCCCTCCTTTCTCTTTCTCTCTCTCTCTTTCCTTCCTTCCTTCCTTTCTCTTTCTTTTCTTCCTTCCTTCCTTCCTTCCTTCTTTCCTTCTTTTTCTTTCTCTCTCTTTCTTTTCCTTTCTTTCTTTCTTTCTTTCCTTCCTTCCTTCCTTCCTTCCTTCCTTCTTTCTTTCTTTCTTTCTTTCTTTCTTTCTTTCTTTCTTTCTTTCTTTCTTTCTTTCTTTCTTTCTTTCTTTCTTTCTTTCTCTCTTTTCTTTCTTTCTTAGAATTTTAAAGAAATAATGTAGCCAGGCCTGGTAGTGCAAGACTAGCCTGGGCAACTTAATAAGACTCTGTCTTCAAAAAACAATTTTACATACAGGGGTACAGGAAATGGCTCAGTTGCTACAGTGCTTGCTCTGCAAGCATGAAGATCTGATTTTAAATCCCCAGCATTCATTTCTTTTTTTTAAAGTCAGGTGTAGCACACACCTCTGTAATCCCAGAGCTGGGAAGGCAGAGGCAGGCAGATCCAAGGTGCTTACTGACCAGCTAGCCTAGCCAAATTGGTGAGTTCCAGCTTCAGTGAGACACTGTCTAAAACAGTAAGGCTGAGAGTCACTGAAGAAGACACCTGATATCGATTTCTGAACTCTGTTCACACATTTCATGTATACCACATATACACATGCACACACATCTACATGTACACATTAAAAAAAAAACAAAACCCTAGAAAATGAGAGACTTGTAACTGGTCAAAAGTGCTGAGAATAAGTAACCATGAGTACACAGCCCTAAATGGAACATCTGTATCAGCACTGCTATCTCCAAGGCGCAGGAGCTGGGTCAGAAAGAATCTCTAAGAGCTGGAGGACAGGGAAACATGCTAGGGAATGCAGTCTTTGGGACACAGCATGGCTATTGCACTGGAACTCACAGCCATTGTGGTGACCTGCACAAGATTAAGCCAGTTAAAATTCCAGCGTGGACAGGGGAGTTTTTCAAGAGGACCCAGCCCTAGCTAAGGAGCAACTGGCAGGTGATGGTATCTGGGGAAGCCATAGACATTTTTCTTTAGGAGTATGGCCACTGGTAGGCTGCCCATGCTCCAGTGGATGCCCCACAACTATGCACATTCAGGCAGCATGAACTGGACACAGTGGGGTATTTAAATAAAAGAAAAAAAGAACATTAAACTGG